AATCCTTGGAAGAAAATACTTTCCTGGCAAACAATTTCCATTGTTTTAGATACTGTGAAATGTGATGTGGCTTATATGAGAAACTTGGTGAACTTGGGGCCATTGTCTGTTTGGGTTTTTTTGTGTGTTGTAAAGTTGAAATTAATACTGGTTCTTTGCATAAGATGCATGTTCCCTAAAACATGATTTAAGGAAACATCTGCTCACAACACATGTATTTGAAAAAAATAAATGGTGAAGTGCAAATACACATTGCTACTGTGGATCCCCATGAAAACAGCTTAATCTGCTTTCCCTGAAGTCTGTCTTTGATGCAAACTGAAGAGGGCCTTAGGTGAATGAAATGTCTCAAAAATAGTATCTCTGAAGAGCCCATCCTGCCTTTAATAGTCTGTTAAGAAAGCAAGACTCTAACACACTCAAACACACACACATTGTTGCTTGCTATACAACTAAGGTTCAGTTAAAGAAACTGGACACTTTAGATTGTAGAATAGCAAAGGTGGATGAAATTTGAAGAGTTAATTGCTGCTGTTTGGTACTTATGTTATTGCCCAGGCAGAGAGACTGTCTTTAGTTTAGATTTGTAGGATTTGTCATTACCAGTGTTCTCCCAAAAAAATGAGCATGGCTTTAGTATATTTAAAATGTAGCCTTGCTTTAGCATGATTGCGCAAAAATAACAAAACAAAAAAAAAAACCTTGTAATGATAAAGGCATAGGATTTAATGATTAAACTTTAAATGTGAATTGGAAACATAGCTTGTAACTTAAAATGTTTTCTGTGTGGAAGCACCTGGGTTTATCTGAGGACAGATTGACCACAAGATTACTGAATGCCAATGGCAATTACAGCCTTATTGGATAATGCACTGGACAGATCCTTAGCCTCTGTAAACTGCCCTAGCTCCAAGAAGTTCAGAAGAGACAAATTTACAGATCTGATCCACATTTTCCTATAGTGAAAGTATATATGTTTTTTACTTTCCTTAACCATCAGCTCTCTATCTTTATCTAGTCATATATCAACCCTGATGTTTCTGTCTGTGAAGAACTGCACGAGTTTGGACACTAATTTAGACTGAACTTTGGTCAAAAATGAAGCCTTTTAATTTTTAACTTCCTTGCTTAGCAGATATCTTTAATAAGTAAGCAGTGTCGTTGTTAGTTCTAAATTACACCTTTAACTGCTTTTCTGAGTGCTTGCTTACACTAAAAACCAGGCAAGCAAAAACATCCCAAACTGTATTTTAAATCAAAAGTAGAGTCCAATGAACAACTGCATTGCCTATGTTTTCTCCTTCTAACCTTCGAACAGACCTAGTCTCCATCTTCTTGAACATGCATAATCAACTGAAAATCCGTAGGTGTAGTTCAGTAACAAATCATGAGCTGCCAACAGGAACAGTCAACAGAAAGATGAGAAAAAGAGATGTGTTGCACCTACGTGGGCAATTTTGGGTGTAGTTATGGGAAAGCCTTGAGGAGTTTTTATTCTTGTCTTGATGTATCTAGTCTTGAAGAAGTTCCATTCAATGGTGTCCAGCAAGACAGGGTCCCTTTAGTTGGATGATGAGGTGCCATGGTAAAGTGAGAGGAGAAAATTTTAGTTTAAGTAAATAGAGGTTAGACTTCTCCTGTGCTGGTTCCATTGTTACTATTGTTCAGCAGTAAAATATCTGGGCCTATCAGTTTATATGTCTCTAAATGAAAACTTTGTCTTGTGAGTGCAAAGAATAATGGGTGAGAAGGGCATGACCCACCATCTCAGCTCACTGTCAACATCATCGCCACCATTCCTGTTGGAGACTCCTTCTAGGCTCTCACCTATGGGAAAAACAGATGTGTAGAAATGGTGATGGTGAATGGGGCAGGAACACACCTTCTGGCTGCCAGCTGTGAGGGAGTGAAACAGGTAGGTGCCTCCCAAAGCTTGCATCCAGGTCACTTCAAGCGTACAGTGACATTAGATTACACATACCTCCTGGCCTGGGGATGCAGCTCCCAAGCACTGTTTACCCTCTCTGCCTCTTGCTGGGATGTGAACTGCTTTAAACAATTCCTCTTCTAATGAAGTACGGTCAGTCTGTGTTGGCTTTGCAGGCACCCATCTGTAGAGAACAGATCTGCTTGCTCCTCTCTCTGAGGATCCCTTCGTTCCCTCCCCATCGGCCTTGCTGGGAGATTAAAGTAGCAGCGGCCCCATACACAAACGCAGCTGGTTCCGTTTGGTCAGCCTGAGCCTTGCTGTGAAACCACGACAAGAATTCCAGTAAGTTGGCAACACTGAAACACAAAGAAAACAACAATAGGAAAAGACCTTCCGTGCAGAAAGGAATGTTTCAGGCACTATTCCCCTACAGAGAAAGGAGAGAGGGTGGGAGGGAGGAGGGAGATTTGAAGAGGGCATGTCTCCCCCTCCCCCGGCAGCTCTGGATCTTGTGATGGAGAGATCTTATCCTCTCTTTGTGATTCAGAGGTGCCAGGAAGCTAATTGAATATTCTGATCTGCCCCCAGTGTTTCTTGTGGCTTGACCCCGGTGCTGTGTCGTACCACCACACCAAACAGCCCTGAACCTGCATAAATCACAACCTTGCAAAAGCCTATGCTCCACATCTTCTCTCCCCACCCCCCTCTTTACTATCTTGATAGATAGAAAGCCTTTACGGAAAGGTTTAGAGGGATTAGCGTCCTACAGGACCTGGAGAGAAATCACAGTCTGCTAATAAGCAGCGACATGTTCCTGTGCAACTTCTGCAGGAACAATACAGGCACCTCTACCTTTTTATTGAACTTGCAATCCATGGCAAAAAGAAGAATTAAGGTTTGAAATATTGCTTAAGTTCTTTTGCAGCATCAGCAAACAGCCCTTGCAGTATAATGAGCATGGCATGATGCTAATGCAAAAGATATGTGGTATCTGTAAAGGTGGTGTCATTAAAATTAATCTGACAGAGCCTCTTGGAAGACAAATAGAGCTATCCTTCTCTCATGATATGTATGCACAGTAGTCACTGTTGACGTGCATGTGCATATGTGTACATATATGAAGAAAGTATAGCTTGGCATAACTAAATTTCCAACATGAAAGACTGTTTTTGACTACTAAAAAATTATTTAACTCCACGCATTTTATATATGATGCTTCTGATCCTGCAAGCAAAGCCTCTAAAAAGTTTGTTCTTTTTACCAAGGCTGCATTCCAGCCTGAAGTTAATCTTTATCTTCTCCCTGTGATCCTACACACTACTCTTCCCTTGTTAGTGTATATGGTTCCTGAAATGGCAGCAGTAAAACACAGGGAGATATTTCTTTGTGTATTGCACACACTGTTGGAGAGTTAAAACTAAAGGAGCATATCTCTAGCTGGTATCTTGAGAATTCACAGCTAAAGCACTTTACCAAACTGATTTTATCTGCTAAGAAAGTGCAAAAGTAAATTTCATCCCCACAGTTTTCCTTTCATAGTGTTTGTTGTGAGCACTACTAATTTCTAAGCTTTTCCTCTGTCTGCATCAGTGAGTAGATGCTAGATTTTTTTTCAGAGTTATCAAAAATACTTTTTCTTATTTGGGACACTAAAACCTATGACATTCATTACTTGCCACCCGCAGTTCCCAGAACTACTCAAAATAGATGAGCACATTAAATACAGCACCAATGGACTCTGATACGAAGTGAGCAAAGTGCAGGGTCTTGGAAGCATCTTGGCTATCCTGCAAAGTGTGGAAGGAGGGGCAGAGGGAGCCTGTGGCCGCAGGGCCTGGAGCACTGCCTGATTCCCTCATGCTGGTTCCGGGGCCGCCGGGTATAAAGAGCTTTATGCAATGTCTGGAGGGTGGGAGTTTATAGAAAACGCGATGTCTCAACAGGCGAACACGCCTTTCTTCTGCAACTAGCAGGACAAGAAAAAGATACCAGGCTCCTTGTGCTGGTGCTGTGCAGATCAGCACCCCGGAGTCCAGAAGCCAGCTTCTGAGGAAGCTGGAGCATCCCAACCCAGATGGGACCTCACCATCGGATGGATGGAAGAGCAACAACTGCTTGCAAACTGCTCATATTATTCACTGCGTGCCTGATGCAGGGCAGTTGCCAAGGTAAGTGCTATGCTCCAGCCTCTCCGGAATAGAAATTGCACCGTAAGGAGCATATCCCTACTCTGGGGACTTTTATAAGAGAAAGATAAGGTGACTGAAAGTAGAGGGTTAACAGGCACTGATTCAAGGAGTTCTTTCTAATAGTTAGGGGAGACAGTTGGCTCTTTCCAGGAGTCATTTGATGGAGTCGGTTTCTGTTGTGGAAAAGTAAGTAGCGCCTTAAAAGCACTGCAAACATCACCGATTCTTCAGCTTCACTTCATCTTGATTTCAGATTATCGTAGGATGCTTCCTTTGATTGTTTTTCTAGTTTGTAGAAACTTTTTTTTTTTCCCTAGTTGTGTGTGTAAGCAACAGACAAATGTGGCTAATTTTTGATGGACATCTCAGACTTTGCAATTCCACGGTCTAAACGCATGGTTTTATGGAAATGCCAACAGGCAGGTTTTTCTGCGAGTCCTGATTACTGGCTGTGAATAAGGCCAAAAAAAACCCAAAAACAAACAAACAAAAACACCCCAAAAACCAAACCACCCCCACAAAAAACCAAACAAATAAAAAACAAAAATCCAAAAAACCCCAAAAACAAAACAAAAAAACCCCAACCACCCCAGACTTTTTGCGTTTTTTCCTTGTGGTATTTGTGCCTTTCTTGCTACTGAAATACGGGTGATTTTACAGAGCAGAGTTCACCTGCATTCCACGAGCTGGTTTGGTAACCACTAAAATTGTACCTAGAGTTGTTTTTGTTGAGGAGTGCACAGCACTTGCACGTAGACAGGTTGGGTCGGGGGGCAGGGGGTTATGCATGGACATGCTTGCGTACGTGTGGTATATGCAGTCATTTACAGAAAGCTATAAGAAAGAAACAGATGCTTAGTCTGGAGCACAATAAGCTCCCCTCAGTCGGTCTCAGACGCAGATTTGAAGTTGAGAGAGGGAGAACTTTTTCTCTGGGCTTTACTGTTGCTAGGCGACATGGAGGAGCATGTGACTGGCAGAGCAGGCTGAGTGCCGCTCCTCCAGTGCTAATCTGGCTGCTGGGGATGGAGCAGCCGTGTGCCCAAGTCCTTCCTCCGGCCTCTGCAGCCGATCTCCCTGCCTGCCCTTCTTCAGCTGTTTATTTGCCTTGCACTGAAAATCAAGCCTGTCTTGTTGGAGCACGAGTGGCTAAAGTGCATTTTTCCTCCGCCCCGCCTATTGACCTGCAGTTCTGCTGCTTCTGTGTGTGTCTGCATATTACGTGTGTGTTCAAATGGTTAATCTGCTTTCTTTGCTCAACTCTTAGTTTAAGCTCCTTAGACAGAATCAACTAAGTAATTATACAGCAACTGCTGTTAGCAGCTCCCACTTATGAACAGGGAAATAAGAGATAGCTAATGTGCTGGAGACCTGCAAAAACTCCAGCCAAGGAGGTCACACTGGGCAGAATTAATCCTATGCACTATTATTTTACATTGGATAGAATGGAATTTGCAGTACAGATAAAATTTTTTGTTGTTGTTCTGTAACTGCTTCTGATTGTCCAGAACATATCTGATAAAAGACATGACAGAACAAGCAGAGATAGGCTTTGAGCTAACATCCATAGTAGTATCCATACAGATTTTTTTTTTTTAACTTTTATGATGTTCCTTCTGCTCTTTCTCCCAATCTCCCCTCCCCCCTGCCTCCACAGTAGAATAACTGTGGAAATCAAACACTATAATTTTAGTAATGGGTGACTGATACTAGGAAAATACCTGGATAGCAGGTATTTTGCCTGCACTTTGATTATGGCAGTGGAATATTTGTTAACCATAAATTACAGTTCCTTGAATGCTAAGATCATGTCAGACTCTTATTTCAAAAAGAAAATTTGAAGAACCATGAAAGCAATCCCAAGCCTTTGAAGGAAAATGGTGAAAATCTCTTATTTTGCCTTATCCTCAGTATTTCCAAAGGCACTTCACTGATGTTTTTTGAGATTTTTTTTTGGCAATTTTTGAGTGTTCCCAATATAAGATGGATGTTTCTAGAAGAATTTCACCTACACAATTCACCTTGTTCAATTGGTAGTACTCTTTTGCGATTTACCTAATTCTGGTTCTACTGAGAGTAACTGTAGTGCTCATAAACAGAATAAAAAAGTTTTGTAATTGCCAGCAGTACAGGGTCTGTTTGTCCTGCCTTTATAGGTCTTGTTGTCTGTGGGGTAATTGTTGTCAGAAAAAAGTGTAGCTGGAACCTAAAAAGTAGTTAAGTGAAGGCAGTGTCAAGCAGGAGCATTGTGGGACTATTGCTTATGTTTGTTTTGGGGAATATCAAAGTGCTTCACACTCAGCCATAAACTACAGACAATGGATGGATGTTAGTGCACCAAATTTGATTTGTATCCTGCACCTCTGCAATGATAAATTATCAGCTTGATACGTCCCAGGCAAATATGGCTAAAATTTTTTTACCATTATGAGGTCTCTATTAATCTGAGAATGAAGACTATTCTAAGAATGAATGCATATGGTGTGATAAGATATATAATCACAATGAACATTTGCATGAAGTGTGGCAGGCCATTAAGAAATAGGTATGGTAAGACCAAGTAGAGAAGAGTTACAGCAGTTCTTTCTGGAAGTCATGGAGAAACATGTTTTCCATAAGGCATTGTAATAGTTCAATCTCCAAATCAATAATTCAGTGTTTTTTAGATATTGTTTTCATTCAAAATTATTTAATTTTTCTGTAGGATGATGTACAGTGACATTGCTATGGGCGACAGGTCAGAGTCACTATTCATACTTCCTTGTACAGCACTGTGCACTTTTAAATGACAGAGAAGCCTGTCTGTAAGATTCCACCTCTGCCAAGAACTAGAGTTTGAAAACTTGAGTGACTGGGGACCGAGGATTTGGAAGTAACAGGAAGGGAAAAAGAATGGCAAGAAATATAAATATACTGATGCAATCCTGACATGCAATTTGCTGGGTTTTGTGCATTTCAGTGTTCATAATCCTGCGCTAGTACAATTTTCTTGGTTTCTCTTGGAGATGTACTCACACAAAATCAAGAGCACAAATGGCCCTGAGTGTCTATCTACCTGGCTTCTAAACTGGTTTACTTTGTGAGGCCTGACAATTTGCAAGTATCTGTCATTGAAACACGTTATAGTCTTCTTACATTTTAATGAGTTTTTCTGTGCACTAACAGGGGTATTGGGTTTTTTTTTCTTTGTTCTTTTTAATGAATAGCCCACTTCTAGGACATCTCTTGAATTTTCTTAATAATTCACTCTTTTTCTGTATTCTGTTCAGTAAAGCATATCAGGTATTTGCAAAGTAATCAACTAAAGCAAAGAATGGGTCAAATCCCAGAATTTCAGTTAAATATTGAAAGCAGTAATTGGATGACACCTGGTTAGATTTAGGTTCTATGCCAAATGCTAGAATTACAGTAAATAATTAAGCTACAGGAGTGAAGACAAAACAGAGACAGAGCATCCAAGGAGATTTCAAGTAAGATAAATGTGTGATGTGTGTGATGCTTCTATTTCCCTGTAAGACAACCCAAAACCTTCTTTCATAAATTGAGCTGATTGGAAATTTGAGCAATGAAATCCTACTTTAATCCAGATTTACTTGCCATGTGTTTTGCAGGAAATAGCAAAGATTCATTTGGGGTAAAGGTAGACTGCAATTTCATTACAGCCTTTCAGTTCTTTTCCTTTAGGGCTTCCTGGGTTGACATGAAATCACTTGTATTGTTCGGAGCCTTTCCCCTCCATGCACCTTCTTGCATGCTTAACTTCTCTTTCTTTAACACTGAACCTGGAGGTTCTTCTAAATCTGAATACTCTTCTTTTCAATTGAGCAGTAAGCAGGCACGCTGTAGTTGTAGTTTATTTTATATAGGTTGTTGGATCCATTCAGTCTTCTACATACTTATTTTTAGATTTGAGTGGTTGTGATAACTTTTCAGATAGACAAATATGTAACTTAAATCACACTGTACTATCACTTTTTTAAGCAGTAGTTATATCTTCTCTTTCGGAGCTCTACTTAAAACATATTGGAACTATATAGTACTTTGCATGTTTCAAAGGAGCTTACACTTTCTTGACGTTGTCATTGTTGAAAAACATTAAAAGTCTCTTCTAATTAAGGATCTACAGGTTGACTTCTATTTAAAGAGAAGTGGATGTTTTTATTCCACTTTGACTAATTAGTGATGACAATCATAATTTGTCAGTTACTTTTTAATAGCTTACACTGAATGTGGCAGATAAAAGCTGTTTTTAAAATTATTTAAAACTAAAGTGCTTTTTCATATAATTTGATAATAATACACTGTTCTTAAAAATACCTTGAGCTGTTTCTAGATGAAAGAATAACAAGGTTTCTTCTGAGTCAACCCAGTGTGATTCCTTTAATTTCAAAGAAATTACCGAATTGTACTGTTCTAAGGCAGAAAATATGATTCAGTGAAGAGTAAACATCTCTTTAAATAGCTCTTCATTGTATGAGATACATTTTGAAGTCCATTTTGTTATGATAGTGTTAATTTTTTTTAACAACTTTTTTCTCCCTTGATTCAGTACACCTATAGAACAGCTGAAAAAAAAAGTTTAATGAGTAAGCATAGAATTGTTAAATCAAATGGATAGGCTTTAGCGTATTCCTTAAGCTTTTACTGTTGGTTTCAGGGGTTTTAATGTTTTCTTTGTTTTGCAATGCTTAAAGTGGATTAGAGATCAAAGGATCGCTGTTACAACTTCTGTTTTGGATTAATGAAACAACATATAAAAGTTGACTGAAATAGTTCTATTTCTATGACCTGTTCTATTTTATAGTTTTAACATGATTGAGTTGCCTTTGTTTTACAATCAAGAAGCCAGATCTTCAGCAAAATATCACAGTTTACAGCAGCAGCATGTCTGCCCAATTATTTTCCTGCACAGCCAGGTCATGATACTACATCCTGCTGAGTCAAGTCAGAGAATGGGAATTGGGACTCCCTTTAATGGG